TGATATGTGAAGCTTCTGATGAGTAATTAGTAGTATGTTGGTAAATAATAGAACAATTTATGTAGTTAAATCTTTCTTACCTAATAAAACATTTTAAGTTTAAAATGAAATATCCAAATGACAACCAGTTGACTTTAAATAAAATGAAACTTAACATTATTAGGTAAAATATAGGTCATTAGCAAAGACGGATGATGCTAGGACTTTATTATTTTTTTAATCCTTTAAAATAGGTTAAATTAAAAAAAGTTTTATGCTAATAAATGGCTACAAAATGTTAAATAATTAATGCATTAGCATTATTTTAGTTGCAAACTTCAACAAATCTTAGTTGCAAACTTTAGTCAATATTTGCCTTTGAAATAAAATATTTTGATGTTTTTTTCTATAGTTCATAGACCAGAAAATATAACTTGATTGTGGTAAAATACTTGTTAATTGTCTTCAAGTCAGTTCCTATTCATAGAGACCTTGTATGAGGTTTCTGAGGAGCAGCTGATGAGTCTGAACTGCTGACCTGTGGTTTGTAGTCCAGTGCTGATCCTACAGTGCCACATGAGGAGTCTAAAATACCTGACACTAATTATTGTATCATTTATCGGTTAAAATTTTGCGTTTATTTTTCCCCTCAAATTTTCCAAAAGAAAGAATGTAGTATAATATTTTAGGGAAAAGTGGTATTTGGACTTAGGAGTTTTATTTTAATTGTTTTTGTAAAGGCTTTTTTATGTCTCTATACTGGAACACATGGTCTTGGTTCACAGTTACTAGCTGCTCCTCAGAAACCTCATACATGGTCGCTGAGTCAAGTCGGACCTAACTTAATGGCACTTAACAACAATCATGCTTCACATGGGCTTCATGTCATCTGTTTATTCTAATATTATAGTCTCATAGACCTCAAACTTGTTTGAATTTTTAATTGGTCCATTGTGTCTATTGTACATAAACCATGTAACTATGTCTTTTTCTCCAACAAAAGCTTATTTTAGGATGTTTGGTTCTTGTTTTATCCTATTCAACTATTTGGTCTGTACTATATTATTTGTGTAATTGCTTTTGGATTTAAATGAACCTGAAAATTAGAATATTTTATCTATTAATTGCTCATATTAATGCATAAAATTTTAGTAGTCTTTTATTTGCCCTTCTTTCTTTTTGAACAACTGGTTATTCTTTATTTCTGTAACATTATAATTTTATTTTGCAAATAAAGCATCAACAATGGGTTAAAGTTCTTAAGTCTTATCAGCTGCTAGGTCACACTGGTCATGTAACCTCATTTCCTCAATGTTTTCAATATTAACATGAGGATAATAATTACACCAACATCATGATTGAAGTGCCTGAATTGAATAAAATAATTCACATAAAAAATCACATGATGTCTTCCATTAAGCAACATTTTCAGTAAATACTAGCAGGTTTTCCTATTATTTTGTGTTTTTCTATTTGGCACATGATAAAGATACTTTAAAGCTCATTAATACATTGAACTAAATTATAATATTAAAAGTTTTTAAAAGAAATAAACCCTCAAGATACCTAACTAAACTAACTCTGAATACTGTTTCTTTTTGAAATCTTAGTACCAAAGCCAGATCCAATCAGAATGTAGGGATACATTAGTCATGTTGACCTTTTGATGCCACAGCCATCCCAAACAATGAGAAATGCAAACCCAAACCACTACTGATGTTAAAACAATAAGCATGGAGGGAAAAAAACAAAAACAAAAACAAAAACAAAACTTTTTTATGCAATGCCAAGGATCAATGTAAGTCTGATAAAAAAATTTACATGTTAAGACATCAGTACATGGTCAAATATAAGATTTTTGAGTTTGAAGCTCAAGGCAAACCTCTTTTATTGTCTTCTCTGAATAACTCTCAATAGAGCAAAAAATCATTCACTGTACTTCATTTTATACCTATAAATTATTTTAAAGATATATTATAAATATTTATAAATAACCATGTGGAAGATGACTGCTATTTAAGGTGGAAAATAACAAAGGATTTTGCATTCAATATTCTGAGTCATATAAGTAGTTAGCAATCTTGAGTAGGAGATCTTACAATTAATTATCATAGTGATCAGTGTCTCAGGTTTGCTTTCTTTAACATTTCTGGTAAAAATAGCAAATATATGTATTTGTCCCAGTTTTGCATTCAGAAATATTTCATTGTGTTAAATGACATAAATTCTAAACTCTGCATATGATATTTTGAGGGGGAGAAACAAATTTACTTTTTGCTGGAAAAAGCAGGAGTCAGGTTTGAATACCATTGGACTGTCCTTGAAAACTGGTAAGATTTTGATGGTGGCAATATGTGTGTGTGTGTGTGAGTGCTAAATATCTTCTGAATGTGGAATTTTCACAAAACGGAAAGGCATAGGTGAAAAACAGAGATATGAGGCAATTAATGGGAACAGTGAAGTACAAATTTTAGTGAAAATAAAGTTTTGTTCAAGCCTTTGTTGTGGAAGGCTTTAAATATGAGGCTAAAGAAATCCATTCATTTTGTAGTCAATAGTAAACAACTGAAGATAGATGAGTAAGGTAGTAACATAGAAATGTATAAATAGAGAAGAAGGGAGCTTGAAAATAATTTTCTCCAAATTCCTCGTTTTATTGATGAAGATGCTGAACCCTAGGAAATAAAATAGCTCAAAGCCCCATTGAACTGCCTGTTGTCTCATATTAGCTTTATTATGTATCCCTGAGATTTAAGTAACTTAGTCGGTAATCTGTTTAGATATTTTTAAGTAACTCAACTATGAATGTGGGGGAAGGGATTTATATGTTGAATAATCTTCAAACAGAAACACAAATGTTAACTTTCCATCTCACTATACTGTTTTTCACTAACTGAAAGACTGATTAATTGCCATTCCTCTAAATTTGCCTCATGTACTTGGAGCACATTATAATAGAAAGAAGCTGCTTTCACACTTCTGGCGCCAAAACATTTAAGGAAAAAAAAGTCAAAGAGGATCTTCAAGCTATCTCAAAAAATTGCATCATTGCTGTTTTAGTCTTCATCTTTATTGTAAATATTAAAACAATTAGCAAATGTGTTCAGTTAAAGATTATGTGATTTTTATAGGGGTCAGAAAGAAAAACCAAATACAACACTGTAGTTGTTAAGCTGTGTGAGCAGATCCACTCCTTTTTTTAGGTGACAATGCAAACTCAATCAATCTTTATGGTGGTATGAACCACCAAAATTAATTGAGATACCTTACTTCTACGACCACAGTTTTTCAATTGTTTGTTTGTTTGTTTCATCCTTTGCAGTTTTTCTTCCTCCCTGCAATACAACTTAAAATACCTTCAGGTGTGCAGCTCTTTGAAATAATGAATGAGATAGTTGAGGGAAAACATTAAATCAAAAGAAGACATAATAAGGCGAAGCACAGAAAGTTTATTGTGTTAATGAGTTTCATTTAATTTTTTAAATCTTAACAATTTGAAAGAGTCAAAGTAGCAGAACACAACAATACATTAAAATCTAAAAACAAACAAACAAAAAAACCCTTGAAGGCATTTGACCCATGTTAATTTAACAGGGATTAACAGCATGTACCTACATATCATATAATTTCTAAAATCCTGAAACATGCTATCAATAGTATTAATGAGCTAAATAATAACGCTTAATGCCCTGTAAATTTAAATAGCTAAATTGTATTATTTCCCTTAAATCTGTAACAGAATTAACGTCTCTGTATCTAGATATTTTCTTCTGAAGAAAATGTTGAGTAATTATCCTCTTCCTGCTGCAAAACTACTAAAAGAATAGAAAAGGTCATTAGCACTGAGGGTATTGGGTGTTTAAGAAACTAGCCACGGACCAGCAAAGGCTGTGAAAGGGCTGCTATGTGAAAAGGTTGTGGGTGCCACTAGCCTATGATGAGGAGCAGGCAATGTGCCAAAACAAGGGTCCCGCTTTTTAAAGTACAGCCCACAGAGCCAGGCTGTTTTCCCTTCCGCCTCCCGGGAATCCCGGTCATTGCAGACATCGTCGGGAGGATTCTTTTGCCCTAATTATCCAGGGAGGAAGACGCGCCTTTCCCGGAGACCGCTAGGCAACACTCACCACAGCAGCCTCCAGATTACTTCCCTCCGTGGGTGTGTGACTCCTCTAAGCAACTCACACTTACAGTAGATTCTCACTTGCTAGGTTGCGAGCAGCAGAGGGCGGTGGAGCTAGGAAGGGGAGGAGGGAAAGAGCTGTGGGAGGCGCAGAGCGGAGAGGCAGAAGAGACCGCTGAGCTCAAGACACAGCAGGAGCGCGCAGTGGCGGTGCAGTTTCCACCTCCCCAGCCCAGCCGCGCACACACCGCCCCTTCCTCGAGCAGCAGGAACAGCAGCAGCTCAGGGCCGCTGCAACCCGGCTCCGAGCTTCTGCCTGCTCGCGGCCGTCAGTACCCCCTCGTCAGCATTCTGCCCGCAGCAATTTCCTTCAGCCAGCCGCTTTGAACTCTCGGGGTCTTTTTTCTCTGCTCGCCTCTCTTTCACCACACCACCTTTCTCAACTCCTTTCCCATTATCCTTCGCTTTTTGCCTCATTTTATTGGGAATTTCTTCTTGACTTCGATGACTTGTCCTCCTTACCTCTTTCATCTCGGTCCTGAAGACTGAAAAGGAACCTTTACCTTTTTCTCTCTGTGGCATCTTATAAACTTCAATCCTTAAAAAAGTCTTCAAGAAGCAAAGGAACGGGACGCGGGACCTTCACGGCATTCTTAAGCCCCTTTCCAGAACTGCACTAGCAAGCATAATTAGCATTTTATTGATGCCCATTGGAGGGGAGGGCAAGAGGTGCCAGGAGCAAACTTAGGCATCTCAGCAGATCCCTGGTTCTCGCAATTGGAGGGACCAGTAGGCGAAGAACCCACCAGGGACGAGAGGAACTCTTGGTCTACCTTGCCTTCTCCAGGAGGCCAGAGCCGGGGACTGAGCCTCGCGGGACAGCAGCAGGGGAGGCGAGAAGATGCGGGGCTTGGGGCCCCGGGGTGCGGGACGCCGGCGGCCCCCAGGCGGCGTTGGCGGCCGCAAATCCCCCAGCACCCCTGCCTCTCTGGCCAGCTGCTACTCCGCACCTCGTAGGGCCCCCCTTTGGACGTGCCTTTTCCTGTGCGCTGCGCTCCGGACTCTCCTGGCTAGCCCCAGCAACGAAGGTAGGGAAGTGGGGGGTGGAAACCGCCGCGAACCTGAGCCAGGAGACGAGGCGGGGCCTGGCAGTGTGGGTCTCGGCGCTCTGGACACAGCTGCAGTGAACTTAATCTTACTCTTTATTTCGAATTTGCATTTGTCCTTCCTTTTCGCTGGCCTTTTTTTCGCTTGCTCCCTGCTGTCTCTGGTTGCATTGTTTGACATTAGCTGCGGGAGTGCTGGAGGAGGAACCTGCGAGTAGAAAGAGGGTGGTTGGGAGACTGGAAGTTGGAAACCGACGGGAGAGACAGGACTGAGACCTGCACTGGGAGGTTGGGTGCGGCTAGGTCTCACTTGAGGCTCGTGGGGAAGTGACATTTCGGGATTGGAAGAGTGAGAGATGTTTGGAGTGCAGCGACAAGAATCCGGGGAGCGGCGGGGTTTTTAGAAACCGTTGTTGGAGGCCTGTGATAGGAAGCATTGTGGGGAAAGCTGACGTTTTTATTTTGGGGGACACTGCCTGTTGTTTAATAAAGTTGTTATTTAGAGCATCACCAGCTGCTATTCTGGGATGGGTGTTGTTCTAAGCTGGTATTTCTCTTGGGAGGTGGAAGGCAAAAAATAGAACGCTCCCCTCACTGTTGGGTCCCCTTCTGTTTGGGAGGCTCTTAACCACGCTAAGGAGATGGCCCTGAAGAAGGCGGGAAGGTGGGATGGGGAAGGTGAGGGAGAAAGTGTCACTGCCAGGAAGTTGTCTCTGGAACCCAGGGGAGAATGTCTTGCTGGTTTCATAAAGGAAAAAAAAAGCTCAGCTCCGGATCTTGGTGTCCCCAGTCGGCCACCCCACCCCCAATTCTGCGCTCTGGACCCGGAAGACAGTCCTGGCCTTCCTTTGGGAGAGCGAAGACTAACAAGGGAACACCTGTGAGGCACTGGCTGTTGCTGGGGAGGTGCGCGGGAGCCTTGGCTCTCGGAGGCTGAGAGACCTGCAGTTCTTGGCCTCCGTGTCTCCTCTAGATACTGTGCCTCCTTTCTTATTCCCGAATCGCACTCGGGTTTCAGCTCCAGGGTGCATTCCTTTAGGGGGTGGGGGTTAGCATCTTAGTCTCCGGGCTATGATTGAATGGTCAGCTACAACACGAAAGCATCGAAAACCCTATCCTTATAGGCTGGAAGGGTGGAGTTTCAATTTAGTGCTTGAGATGGGACGTGTGAGGAGCAGAACCGAGTGAAATTTCTTCCACTCCCAGTAGAGGAGGGGGCACTGGAGCAGAAAGACGAAGAAGCCGCGGCGGAGCCCAGATTGTTCCCGTGACTTGCACGGGTTCAATCTCAGCTGTGGGGGAAGGTGCTGAGCTGATTTCCGAATGCTGTCAGCTCCTGAGAAATGGTGCAAAAGCAGAACATCTGCCCCTCCTCCCCCATGAATTTTCTTTCACTTTTACTAACTAAGTTCATTTTATAAACTCTGATTTAAGGAGGCTATATATCTACATATCTATCTATCTATCTATCTATCTATCTATCTATCTATCTATCTATCATCTCCCCTTGCTTGAACCATGCAATTTACATTTCGCTTCCCAATAACGTTAAATTGAATAAGTGTTTTCTGAAATCATAGTTCTTATATTAACATCCCTTATTTGATTCAACAATTTGTGCCAGGAGGATTATAATACGTTTGGGGTATTTTTATTAAATGTCCTATTTTATGGGACAGACATTGTAGTTTTAATTTAAAGAAGTTTAATAATATTATTCTACATCCTTTCGTGTTTCTGTATATTTCAAGTCTGTTTCTCAATGAGTCTTGGGGACTGTGGCTTCTGTAGAGCTGAAAGGGAGTCGCTTTTGGTGAGTGCATGGGAAGAAGTGAAGTCAGTCTTAGGAATGCTTGTGTTGAATAGGAAAATGGGCTAGAGTGTGCAGTGGTAAAGAACAGCCAGAAGAAAATGGAAAGAAGCAAGGAAGAACACTGGTTTACTAAGGTGTTGCTAAATGTAGGGAGATACTATGATAGGTAGCCTGCTTGACATTATAGATTTAACACTTATAGGTTGTATTGCCTTACTCCAGCAAGCCAAACACACAGCAGAGCTTGGGCCGAAGTGAAATGTGGTGTGAGGGTGTATCTAATCAAAAGTGAACCATAATTTACCTCTCAGTGCTCTGAAGACACCAAGAATGACTAGTGCCTAGGGCTTAGGCATATTTTTGTAATATGTCACTATTTTACATAATTAGTCATAAAAGCTTATTGGTATCTATGGTTTCACCACACTCATCCCATTGGTGTATCCCATAGTTCTCCATTAGTAGCATCCCAGTCTCCTATTTATGTTCTTCTACAAGATTTACATTCTTGTTTTTATTTTAACATGCCAGTGCTATTATAAATTAAGTAACATGAATATTGAACATATAACACAAATCAATTTTTATTTTGGTTTATTTAGGGGGTAGAGTTAGAGTTTTTAAGATAGTTTGGGGGGAGAATTTGGATGATCAGATCAAAGAGATTTGATGTATCTATTGAATTCATTGATACTTACGCTCATGTACTTTGCTTTCTGCAAGCCATAGATCTTTAGGATTTTTCAGATCGTAGTGTATATGTATGTTACATATGTATATATTATGAATTTTTTGTTATGTGAAAAAAATCTTTCAAGGCAATTAGAAATAATAGAAATAATGAATTTACACAGAAGAATTGGTATTTTAATAAGTTTTAAATTATACTTTGTAGTCATAAATAAATAAGGAAAAATTAAGCAGAAATTGCCATACATATCTAAAATATTGTGTTGGTATGACTTGAGTGTTTGAATATATTGGATAACAGACAATAAGAGAAAACTTTATACTTTAACTTGAATTACAAAGAATTATAAAAAATATACACTAGGTATACATTTCAGGCAGAAGAAGAAGTATATCATAATATATAAATTTTAAAATGAAATAATTCAGAGGTATATTTGGTGAGAAATTTGTCTAATATAGATAAGGCAGGACAACTATTAACAGGTATATCAACAAATTAAAATCTTAACAGATTTAATAAGTAAAGAGCTGTGATGATTATTACACGTTTAAGAGGTAGCCGTGAACTTATTCAGTAAACGGCACTTTTTTACTGTCTAGAGATATGTTTGTAAACAAGCATTATTTGACAAGTGCTTTTTGCAGCAGGGATCCCTGGCCAATTACTGCTGAACAGCTCTGCATTGAAAATGATTCACCCACAGTGATTCAAGCTTACTTAATTCATTGACACTACCATCAGTAATGTTCCAATAAAGTGCTTCTGACAATTGTCAGCAGTTTGTTTTGAAAAGTCCAATTTCTTGATCCTGAACGTTTTGTATATTTGAAAAAGTTGCATAGAACATCTCTGGGAATAATAATAAATACATAAATAAACCACAAAGGAAAGAAAGAAAAAAAAAAAGCCTAAACTGAAAAACAATCATAAAACTGTAAAGTTGTTTTTACTGGAAAGGGAAAAAATGAAAAAAAAATGCTTGTTTCAGTGTTTTGGTTTCATTTATAGTAGGATCAGACCTATAAAACACAATGAATACATTATTCATTTGTAAAACTAAATGGATTGGTTTTGTGGTCTTGTCATCCTGTTGTAATTCATTTCCTTTTAGATAAAGCAGGAGGACCCCTTAGAAAAGGGGCAGTAAAATCTAGTGCATAAGAAAATGAAAGATCCTTGGAACTAAATCTTGCCACTAAGAATTTTGGCTTTTGCCTTTACAAACTATCCAAAGGGAGTTTTGAAATGTTAAGCTTTTAATTTTGAAGTACACAAAGATCTAATTCGGTGTTAGGGTAACAGGTAAAGTGATTTAATATTTTCATAGGTTGTTAAGTGTCTAAATATTGAGATTCCAACTCACAGTGACCCTGTATAGGATTTCCCAGGCTTTACCTATAAGCAGAAAGCCTCATCTTTCTCCCACAGAACAGCTGGCTGGCTGGAGCCAGGGAATTTGTGATTCCCAGTCAAGTGCTTAACTAATAGAGACACCAAGCTCCCCAATTTCCTCATATAAGACAGGGGAAAGTTTGGGCAATTCCTTGAATTTTCAATGGAGATTTCAGTTTCCATTGAAATTAGTTTTGTTGTAATAGCACCTATTGTTGTTGTTAAGTGCTATCAAGTAGCTTCTGAATCTTAAAATTGTTGTTGTTATGTGCCACGGTGTCATTTCTGACTCCTAGAGACTCTGTACAGGGTTTCCGAGGCCTTAAATCTTTACAGGAGCAGAACCTGCCTTATCTTTCTCTCTCAGAATAGCTGGTAGTTTGGAACTGCTGACCCTGAGGTTAGCAACCTGATTCTTAACTACTATGCTAACCTTAAAATAGCACCTATAAATACTGTTACGAGTTTATTTCCTTCTTGTTGCAATGGAGTCGCAGGCCTTTCTTCTTAGTCTGTTTTAATCTATAAACTACTCTGCCATCTTTCTACCATGGATTACTTTCTTGGTGTCTAGAATAATACCAGTGGCATAGCTTCTAGCATTATAGCAATAAGCAGGCTACTACAGTATGGCAAAGTGACACAAAAGTGGTGGGTATTTCAATCTGTTATTAGGTGTAGTCAAGTAGATTCTGACTCTTAGGGATCCTGTGTATGAACATGAACCACTGCCATGTTCAATGCCATCTCCATAATCTTGCCTTAGTCTGAAAACATTATTGTAGCCACTGTGTCAATTCATCTCATTGAGAGTCTTCCTCATTTTCATTGACCTAAGCATGATGTTGTCTTCCAGGTACCTCCTGATAATATGTCCAAAGTACATGAAATGAAATCTTGCCATCCTGGCTCTACATAGAATATAATTGATTTGTGAAAATGGCTCATGTTATATATTTAAAAATATCATTTAAAATATTTTCATATAGTATAAAATAGTTAGAATATGTACTATTTTAAATATTTTAGACACTATCAAAAGGTGATAATATAGGCATATAAAATATTACCAAAGTATTTAAT